GGTAGAGCTTGCGGTGAGCAGAGATAGCATCACTGCACTCCAGCCTGAGCAACAGAGCAAGACTTTGTCTCAAAAAAAATTTTTTTTTCAATGTGATGTATACATTGAGACCCAAATATTGACTCTTTAAATACCTGCTTGTATTTTTCATCACTATATTAATTTTAATTACTGCCAACAACTTCTTCCATCAGCAGATGAGAAGGAGTAGGAATTATATCATTTATACTTAGCAGATAATGATGCAGCCAAACGTATGCAAATATAGCAGCCCTCCAGACAATCTTACATAACAGTACTGGGTATTTTGGATTCGTATTATCAATGGCCAGATTTCTACTATACTTAAACATATGAGAATTTTAACAAATTTTCATGCTCAACCCAACCCTGATATTCCCATTGGGACATTCTCCCATGACTCCCTATTGAGAAAATAAACTATTTTGCTTTGTCTAAGTAAATCTTAACACTTTGTAATTCCATCATGGTAACCTGATCCCTTCCTTCCCACTAACTAGGGCAAAATGAAGGCACATGGGCTCTGTCTTGACTCATATTCACAGCCTGCGTTCAGTGTGGGTCACGTTCTCACTAACCTATGTCTAGGTGACTACTAGAGTCTTTCACTGGTCTCTTAGCATTGAGTCCTTCTCCACTGCAATTTTATATACCACTTGCTGATTATTATGTTTGCACTCCTTCTTCATGATAACCACCCACCACAATATAATTTTACATTTATTGTAATTATATGATTAAAATCTTCCTCTACCACTAGAGTGTAAATTACTAAGAACAGGAACAATGTGTTTTGAAGTGCCTAGCTCAGGAGCCGCGGTGGCTCCGGCCAGTTGTCCTGGTGCTTGAGGAGGCGAGGCTATGAGTTGAAGTGCCTAGCTCAGTACCTTAAATATTAGACACTGGAGAAATATCTAATGAGTAAATGAATAACATTTGAAAATATAGGGCATGTGGGATTTTTCGCCAAATTTTTACTCCGAGTTAAGACTCTGCCTTACTCAAGCTTAAGAGGTTTCCCAGTACCTCTCAGACCAAACCCAAAAAATTCTTTTTGATAATGGTCCTCTGTTGCCACTCCTGGGTTCAGGCAATTCTCCTGCCTCAGCCTCCTGAGTAGCTGGGATTACAGGTTCCCTTCACCTTTTAGGGGTACCATGGCTTCAGGAAGGTGCCTCTATCCAGTTTTCAGAACAAACTGTGGTAATTTCCACTCCTCTGCACTTGTTCATGTTCTATTCCAAACCATGGTTCTGTTCCTCCAAATCCTTAAGATGGTAACAGGTCATGACAGCTGTATTATTTTCAAGGGATTTAGATTTCAGAAAAATCCCAGAAAGTCCTTTTAAAAAAGAACCTTAGATTGGACGCAGTGGCTCACTGTACTCCTAGCACTTTGGGAGGCTGAGGCAGGAGGATCACTTGACGTCAGGAGTTCAAAACTAGTTTGACCAACATGGTGAAATCCTCTCTCTACTAAAAATACAAAAAAAGTAGCCGGGTGTGGTGGTGCGTGCCTGTAGTCCTAGCTACTTGGGAGGCTGAGGCAGGAGAATTGCTTGAACCCAGGAGAGAGAGGTTGTAGTGAGCCCCAAGATTATGCCAGTGCACTCCTCCAGCCTGGGTGACACAGTGAGACTCTGTCTCAAAAAGAAAAAGAACCCTCACCTCTAGAGAGGCCAGGATCCATTTAGGGGCTTCTGAATATGGTAACATAAATGTAGCAGTTACACTAATTCCAAGAATTAAAATTTGAGAATTTAAATCCATTTACCTTGTTAAGAATAAAATTCATCAGGTGGTTTCTTAATGAAGTAAAATTAATTTTAATTCATTTTGTTTGTCTTGTATAAAGCAAAAAAGACTATGAATGAAAATGTGATTACTTCCTGCAGCAATTAATTCATCTGTGAGACTTTTTTTTGCTGTTTGCTTTGTTCTAAACACTTAAAGCTTGAGCTCCTGATGGGCTTCCAACAGTATATTATAATTTCAAATGTGTTCTGTGATCAAATACATTGGGGAAAGTGATGCAGGATATTACAGGACACACAAAGAGACTGTTTTGTTTTGTTTTTATGTTTTTGAGACAGGGTCTTGCTCTGTCTCCCAGGATGGAGTGCAGTGGCACAATCACAGCTCACGGCAACCTCTGCCTCACTGGATCAAATGATCCTCCCACCTCAGCCTCCCAAATAGCTGGGATGACAGACGCATGGCTAATGTTTAAATTTTTTTGTAGAGATGGGGGTCTTTCTTATTGCCCAGGCTGGTCTTGAGCTGCTGGGCTCAAGTGATCCCCACAACTCAGCCTCCCCAAAATGATGAGATCACAGGTGTGAGCCATGGCGCCTGTCCTAGAAGAGTGTTTTTTTATTAAAAGGAAAACAAAAACAGTTGAATATCAGATCCTGTACATGTCAAGAATGAAAAAAAACAGCAGCCAGTTAGTGACATTGTATTTATACAGCACTTGTAGAAGAGCTTTAAAGCAACTAAAAATATATATATATTCCCAAAGATAGAAATGTTATCAATATTATCTCTCTTTTCTAGATAGGAGAAAAATAACTTACTAAAGATGACTATATAATCAAGTTCTGATTTGCATTCCCCTGGTTTTTCCCCAAAATAGGTTTAGAAGATTAAATTTCCCTTCCTAAGAACTGTGGTGCTATGGCAAGGGTATCATTAAGAGCAAATATGTAGTAAATTAAAGCTGTACAGGCATTAAAGACATATAAATCATGTATAAGCACATTCAAGAATTTAAATTATCTGTAGTATGGAAGAGTGAAGAATTTGAAGTTGAATCATCTAGGTTTTGATTGTGGCCACAATACTAATTACTAACTAAGATTTTCAACAAGTTACTTAACTGAGTTGCTGCGAAGAGCAAATGAGTTTACATATGCAAATCTCAAAAACACAACGCAATGCCTTCTATGCATTCATGTTATATATTTACCAATGTTGTAAGAACTGGATTGTAATGGGGAAACAGTAGAGGCATTAATAATAGGAGCTCTCACTTACTGGGCATTTACTAAGGGCTTTTCATGCCTCTTCATTAATTCCTCACATCTGCCCAATGTGGTAAGTATTGTATTTGGTGGAACCATGGGGACTTTCCATTTCTGTGGGTTAAAAATAGTCAATTATGGGCAGTTTCATGTGGTTCAAAGCATCCTCTTCATGGTTTAGAGAAACTGAAATACAGAGAGACTTGGCTGTGTGGTTTGCTGCCTCCATCCCCCTGTCACCTACATCTGGCATTTCGCCCCATGTTATCCCTCCCCAACCTCCCTACCTCTTACTGCCCCTCTCCTAGTCCTCCCTAACGGACCCCAGTGTGTGATGCTCCCCTCCCTGTGTCCATGTGTTCTCATTGTTCAACACCCGCCTATGAATGACAACATGTGGTGTTTGATTTTCTGTTCTTGTGTCAGTTTGCTGAGAATGATGGTTTCCAGATTCATCCATGTCCCTACAAAGGACATGAACTCATTATTTTTTATGGCAGCATGGTATTCCATGGTGTATATGTGCCACATTTTCCTTGTCCAGTCTATCATTGATGGGCATTTGGGTTGGTTCCAGGTCTTTGCTATTGTAAACAGTGCCTTAATGAACATACATGTGCATGTGTTTTTATAATAGAATGATTTATAATCCTTTGGATATATACCCAGTAATGGGATTGCTGGGTCAAACGGAATTTCTATTTCGAGATCCTTGAGGAATCGCCACACTGTCTTCCACAATGGTTGAACTAATTTACACTCCCACCAGCAGTGTAAAAGTGTTCCTCTTTCTCCACATCCTCTCCAGCACCTGTTGTCTCCAGGTTTTTTAATGGTTGTCATTCTAACTGGAGTGAGATGGTATCTCAATGTGGTTTTGATTTGCATTTCTCTAATGACCAGTGATAATGAGCATTTTTTCATATGTTTGTTGGCCTCATATATGTCTTCTTTTGAAAAGTGTCTGTTCATGTCCTTCACCCACTTTTGAATGGGTTTGTTTGTTTTCTTCTTGTAAATCTGTTTTAGTTCTTTGCAGATTCTGGATATTAGCCCTTTGTCAGATGGGTAGATTGCAAAAATTTTTTCCCATTCTGTTGGTTGCTGGTTCACTCTAATGATAACATTAGGCTCAATTTCTAACTTCCTAGAAGGATCTTTTTTTCCATTCCTCCCCTAATTCTTACTATTTTACCAACTGGTTCATCTCTCTTTTCAATGGCTATTGTTCCCACTTATAATGAGACTCTCCTTTTGCCTTTAATAATCTGATCGCCTCAACGAAAGTGAAAGATTGTTGAGGAAAGCTCAACAAATGTTCAAGTTGATGTTTACACTGAGTCCACCACCACATGTGAAATTTAATAGGGGTAAATAATCTCGACCACCTCTAAAGGGGTGGGTGATAAAAGCTTTCTGTGATCTCACCGGCTCAAATGCCCTCTTTAATCTGAATTCATCTGGAGAATAACTGCCTTATGATATAAAATTACTTGTTTCCTGTTCTTAGGCCTTGTCTCTGGGTAGAGTTTACGTGTCTCAAGGACAAAGACACAGTCTTGTTCATTGACTTCATACACTGCCAGCAAATAGTGTGAATCAATAGACCTTTAATTAATGGACAGGAAGAAAAACTAGTAGTTTGGGAGAAGGTCCTTGAACGTAGCAAAGCGAAAAGAAGGGGATGCTTGCGTATTAACACCTGCTTCTGAGAACAAAAACCAGGTAGTATCTCTGAGCCTGGTGGCCTCTCAGGTGGCCCTTTAAAGAGATGGAAACCCGCAGCCTGGGAGCGGCGGGCGGAGCCACGATCCGAGCGCCTGGAGCCCGCACCAGGCGTAGGCGGCGTCTGCGGAGCGCCGTCCTCTGACCGCCAGGGGGAGCCCTGCCGCGCGCTGCGCACCCGGCCGCGCAGCCCCGCTCTCTCGGCCCGTTCGCCCGCCGCGCACCGCCTGTCGCCACGCCCGCCTCAGGCTGAGGGCCAGTCACTCGCGGGCCGGCGTCCCGCAGCCCATTCGCGCCCCGCCCCTGCCCCGCAGCTGGACGAGTAACGGTTACGAAGCACTTTCTCTGCCGCGATTTCTGCTTAGTCATTGTCTTCCAGGAAACAGCTCCCTCAATTTACCGTCAGCTCTCTCTCAGCGGCCGCAGTAACCTGAGTCACAGCCGCAGCCACCGGTGCCTTCCTCTCCAGCCGCCGCCGTTTGGCCTCCTTCGGGCCCGATCGCAGGCCGGGCTCCAGCCGCGCGGCACCGGCAGCCTCGCGCTCCCTCTCGGGCCTCCCTCGGGCCTCTGGCCCCGCGTCCCGTGGGGCGGCCGCCTGCCTGCCCGCCCGCAGCCCCGTCGCCGCTCGCCCCTGGCAGCCGCTGCTATGGGCACCGACAGCCGCGCGGCCAAGGCGCTCCTGGCGCGGGCCCGCACCCTGCACCTGCAGACAGGGAACCTGCTGAACTGGGGCCGCCTGCGGAAGAAGTGTCCGTCCACGCACAGCGAGGAGGTGAGCGCGGCGAGCGTCACCGCGGGGCTCCCGGGGCAGGCCTCGCGCCAGGCCGGGCGGTTCCGGGAAAGAAGAAGCTCCCGCGGGCGAGGGAGGGTGGTAGGGCCTTGCGCGCACCTGGGCTCCACCCGCGGGAAGATGCCGGGGCCAGTGTAGGTGCGATCTGGGGTCCAAACCCGCTGCTGGGGGCAACGCGTCTTTAAAACTTAGCGGGTGCAGCTGCGCACTGAGTGACGCCTCTGTAGGTGCTTAAGGCTGGTAGCAGAACTCTCAAACATCCTGGGTCCCTCTTCCTGGCACGGAGGTCAACAGAGGGCCAGGACGTCGCCCCGTTCCTCTCCACGTCTCTTGCTTCCTTCCCCCACCCTGTCCAGGTAAAGGAGTATTTCGGAGATTATCCTTTGGTGCATTCAGATGAAGTAGTATTCCTAGTACACCTAACTTCTGGAATGTAGACATTAGACTCAATGTTGCAGTGAGGCAAATGAGTAGGCACTCAAATTTGGCTTTGAAATGCCCTAAATACCCTGACTTTCGTTATTACACTTTTTTTTTTTTTTGAGACGGAGTCTTGCACTGTCACCCAGGCTGGCTGGAATGGAATGGCGCTATCTCGGCTCACTGCAACCTCCACCTCCCGGGTTCAAGTGATTCTCCTGCCTCAGCCTTCCGCGTAGCTGGGATTCCAGGCACGTGCCACCACGCCTGGCTAATTTTTTGTATTTTTAGTAGAGACGGGGTTTCACTATGTTGGCCAGCTGGTCTCGAACTCCGGACCTCATGATCTGCCCGCCTCAGCCTCCCAAAGTGCTGGGGTTACAGGCCTGAGCCACCACACCTGGCCTGTCATTACACATTCTATGCATTTATCTGTGCATCTATGTATGCTTTATCATTACACATTCTATGCATGTAACAGACTCATACATTCTATGCATGTAACAAAATGTCACATGTGCCCCGTAAATATGTACAAATATCATATATCAATTAAAAAATAAAAGTTTTGTGAAAACTGGAAAATAAAAAGACTAGTCACTAGTTGGAGGTGACAGTAATTAATCTGGAATTACAAACTTGGTATTCCTATTTGTTGCTGGCCATTTCTGAGCAGATAGTCATCCACAGACTGCATATTGTGCATATTGGTGGTATGGGACAATTTTAGTATTTAAAAAATAAAACCTTTAGATTTAGGAGCTATATGTCTTTCAGAAAGTTACTTAGCCTCTCTGAGTCTGTTTACATGACTTTAAAGTTGGGTAAAAACACCTTCCTCATCAGGTTGTTGAGAGAATACATGAAAATGCTCACCATAAAGGCATCTATCTCTCTGTCATCTGGTTCCATCAGAAAGATAAAACAAATCTTAATTAAAAGAAAAAAACCTTCCTAAACTATGTCATATTATGGTATCAGCTGCGTTCATAGGTGGTTTCTGCTCTCTTACATGAGGTGTTGGTGACAGACCATGCAGCAGCACACAGCATCCCTCTCAGTAAGTGCTGGACCTCTGCCCAGGCCTGGTTGGGGTCAGTGCCCATCAAGAGATGAGAACTCTTGCTTGTAACTTTAGTAGGAATCTGAGTCTACACTATATTCTGTGTTCACGTTCCAGCTCAGTGTGTATGTTTTGTTTTATTTAAACTACCTACTTTGGCTGTTTCTCCCAAAGATAAATATTTCTGTATTTGGTACATAGACCCTTAATTTCTTCCTGTACTGTTGGTGATATTGGGCGAAATTTTATCTATCTCACAATAGCATACTCTAGTGACTCAAGAGTTTCTGACTGCAAACACAGTAAGAAGTACATTTTACCTTGCAATCCAGTTAATAGTATAACACTATATACTATTAACTGATATAAAATCATATATGTGAACCAGGTTTCTCAAAAAGATATTAACCGTTATTTTATACTGTGTATTCTGATTTTTTCTGTCTTTAATTTTTAAAATGTTGATTTCTTGATGCACAAAGTCACACACCACAGTTTGTAAAACATTGTTCAAATGACTAATTCTGGTTTGTAGTGTTTTATTTAGGGTGCTTCATAAGAGTAGGGCAAAACTAAAGAAACTAGAAAATGTTTGAGGAAAACCTGAAGGAATCATATTATAGGGAAACTACAAAAAGGGGGCACATTTTGTTTCTATGTAAAAAGAACTTTGTAACATCCAGAGCTCCAAATTGGGATGTACTACTTGGAACAGTTTGACCTCACTAAAGAGACTAAAGAAACGGAGTAAATAACTTATTTTTGAGAAAATGTATATACTGGGTTGAGAGTTCAGTTAAATTTCTTACAAGGTCTCTTCTAGTTCTAATTAAAAAAAAAATGTTATGACCTCTGTCCAGATTTTTTGTTTCACTGGAATTTTATGAAATCAAATAGTTTTTTAAGTAGATCATTATAAACTGTTTTGCCCAGTTCTTTGTTGTAAGGGTGTTTGACCGGTTACATCATGGTATTTAAAAAATTCTTACACAATTCCAGATCTAATGATAGGCTAAGTTGTGATGATGCTTATCCTCAGTGATACTGTGTATGTATGATAAGAATGGAGAGAGCAGAGGACAAACATAAACATTAATGTTAATGACAAACATTAACCCAAGTATAAGGTTAATGTTTAGTCAATATAGAGAACATGTAATTTACAAGATTAAAAATCATTAGGTTTTTGATAAAGTCAATGAATTTTTTATGTAATTATAACGTTAGACTGTTTTATGATTTGTCCTGACATTTTGCAGAATCCAAGATTAATTAAAGAAATGGTTTCAAGAAGGGGGTGAATACTCTGAAAATATACTTCCTTCTTGAATTGAGGAATTCATCGGGAAAGCCTCAAGTGTGCAAATGAGCCATCCTTCTAAAGGGAAATTTTTTAGAATTCTCCCATGATTTGAGCCAAAGCACTTCCAATAGAATTTTTAACCTCTAGTTGGTTCTGTTCCTTCAATTTTTACTAATTTTTAAGGGAATATTATGATTTGTAATTCTGTCTGGAATGGTTATCAACTCATTTTTATCCACTGACTTAAATTTTGGTTATAAATATGCTTTACATAAAGATGTAGACCCTGTAACTTGAATTCCAGTGTATTGCTGTGAATAGCACATAAATTATTGTTAAGTATCGTATATCTTAATATAGGTAGTTCTGTGCCCTTAAATTGATAAACTTGTACTAAGAGATAAGTAGTAAAGTGCTTATATCAATTTTTATCATAAGCAATCATAATTCAGATAGTTCAGAAGTTTGTTCTCTGCTGTTTCTATTAGGAAAGTACTTTTGCAATTCAGGGGCTTGCTGCTAGTTACTCATTTGTTTTTGCATTGATTGCCCACAGAAGAATGCAAAACACTGTGTCCTTGGTTATCTAATAAGGGAATTATTTCAAATAGACAGCATTGGCCCATTGGTGGTCATAAATCAGTTCAGTGAGTCATGGAGCAGTATAGTTTTTCTAATTAATATATTAGAAGCCATTAGAGTACCTGGCATGTTATGAGCCTAAATGTCGTTTTGTGGATGTTTTGTTTCATTATATGTATATACATATAATGCATATGGGTCTTTGCTTACTATGTGAATGTATGTCTTACTTTGGACTACTATGAAATAAGTTTGAAATACACTTTAATAAACTATGTTTGAATTAATTTACAACATACCATACTGTAATATTTGTGTAAAAATTTTTTTTGTTTATCTAAGAAAACACTGAAGATAGGTTAGAGGTACACCTAAATGTTAGGAAATGACTTCTGGACTGTCATACAAGTTGACTTCTGCAAGATATGCCTATCCTGGTGGTTCTCAGACTTTAGAGTACATAAAGCACTCTACATGGCACACTTGTTAAAATGAAAACTCCAGACTGCTCTTGGAGAATGATTCGGTGTGTCTAGGATTAGGCTCAGGAGTCTGAATTTTTAATAAACAACACAGGTAAATCTGAGGTAAGAGTCCTTCAGCCACACTTATTCTCCAGTAATTTAATTTGTTTGTCTATCTTTAAGAAATGTAGCATAGTGGTGATATGAATTCTAGTCAGACAGCCTGGGCTTGACTCCAGATTTCTCTGTTTATAAACCTTATTTTTGTTTATGAATGCCTTTTTTTTTTTTTTTTTTGAAATAGAGTCTTGCTGTGTTGCCCAGGCTGGAATTATTGGCACCATCGTGGCTCACTGTAACCTCTGCCTCCTGGGTTCCAGCATTTGTCCTGCCTTAGCCACCCAAGTAGCTATTACAGGCGTCCACTACTACGCCCAGCTAATTTTTGCGTTTTTAGTAGAGACGGTTTCACCATGTTGGCCAAGCTGGTCCTGAACTCCTGACCTCAAGTGATTCGCCCGCCTTGGCCTCCCAAAGTGCTGGGATTACAGGCATGAGCCACTGCACCTGGCCTATGAATACTTTTATGTCTCAACAGTTCACTTAAATTTTCACTGGTACAAAAACACTTTAAAATAATTAGACAACTGCTTTAGTTCAAGAACATTTGAGAAACAAGAGTAGGATGAAAAAAAAGCCTGAATTTATCTATGTTGAAGGAAACAAAAGCCTTGTAGAATTAAAGTTGGGGTTTCTATGGCATTTCCTGTTGCTGTCTTTTTTCTGCCTATCAAATTAATGTATTCTTATTGTAGGAGTATAGAAAAGTGTATAAACTTTGATTAACAGTTTCAAAATGCATTCCTTTTGCAGCTTCGTGACTGTATCCAAAAAACCTTGAATGAGTGGAGTTCCCAAATCAACCCAGATTTGGTCAGGGTAAGTGAAATGTGAATGCAATTATCACGCAGGTCAAAAAGGAAGTAAAGTAAACAGGAAGTTAATTTCTTCAGTTTTGTGAGGGAAGTCAAATAGGCAATTAGCCATAAAACTCTGTGGTAGATTTACTGAGGCGGCACTCTCATCCAGTAGGCTTATACGTAAAACAGAAAATCTAGACTGTAGGCAACTTTTTAGCCAGACAAGATACTAGGATTCTCATGCTTATGTTCTCACCACGGTTTCCTCACTATCGGTGTTTTATTTACATTTATATTTGGTCTAGTAGAGGAATGATTATCAATTTTGATTGGTAGATTGCTTTGGTAGACTCAAAGGCACTGGAAATAATTTTTCAAATGTCAGTTTCTGATGAAGCAATAAGGAACTGTGTCCATTAAATGACAGTGTATGGCTACTATCAGAAATGTTAATGTACAAAACACTAAACCACTCTTTGATATCCAACTTAGTCAAAGGCTCACAGCACATTACTTAGCTACTTTAAAAGTATGGGAAAGGACATGTGCTGGGAATACTGGTTCCACTGGGCATACTACAACTATGTAACTCCATAGCTGCTATATAGACATTGAGTAATTTTTTTAAATCAATCTCTGTTTCTCTGAAATTGCTATTTATTCAATTTATGCTTGACTTGTAAACACTTACTGAACTCCTGATGTGTACTATGAAAGTGCTCAAGAATCATGGGAAGGCCCTTGCTGTTTACTTTGTATAATATTATAAATGTAAGTTAATGTGTTTCTGATTTATATGTACTAATACTTTGTCATTATCCTGGTAATTATTCATTAAAATATGTTCGAATGACCTTTGCTTTTCTCTGCTGCACTTAAAAAAAAGTTTTGGTTTAAAATGCTTGTGATTATAGGCTGGCCGCGGTGGCTCATGCCTGTTATCCCAGCACTCTTTGAGGCTGAAGTGGAGATCACCTGAGTTCAGGAGTTCGAGACCAGCCTGGCCAACATGGCAAAACCCCCATCTCTATTAAAAATTCAAAAAAAAAAAAAAAATAGCTGGGCACGGTGGTGCATGCCTGTAATCCCAGCTACTAGGGAGGCTGAGGCAGGAGAATCACTTGAACCTGAGAGGCAGAGGTTGCAGTGAGCTGAGATCACATCACTGCACTCTACCCTGGGCAGCAGAGTGAGACTTTGTCTCAAAAAATAATAATAAATAAATAAAAATAAAATTCTTGTGATTATAACACTAAATACACTATTGTCATACAATCCAGCAATCCTGCTCCTTAGTATCTACCAAAAGGCGCCAAGAACTTATTTCCATACAAAACCTGTGCAGGGATCTTTGCAGCAGTTCCATTCATAACTGCTAAAATTTGAAGCAACCAAGATGTTCTTCAGTAAGCGAATGTATGTATAAATTATGAATGCATATATAAACTATCCAGACAAGGTAATATTAGTCAATGCTAAATAGAAATGAGCTATCAAGCCATGAAAAGACATGGAGGAACCTTGAGTGCATATTACTAAATAAAAGGTCTGAAAAGGCTGCATACTGTATGATTTAACTACTTGATATACTGGAAAAAGCAAAACTATATAGACTATAGCTTTGCTAGTCTAGTAAAAAAAAAAATAGAAAAAGAAAAAGGTAGTAAAGAGGCAAGTGGTTGCCAGGGATTAGCAGAGAGGCATAGATGAATAGGCAGAGCACAAGTTTTTTTATGTCAATGAAACTACTGCGTATGATACTGTAATGGTGGATACATGTTATTATACATTTTTCTAAGCCCATAAACCATGGAACACCAAGAATGAACCCTAAGATGAACTGGACTTGGGTGAATATGATATGTCAATGTAGGTTGATCAAGTGTAACAAATGTATACCACTGTGGTGGGTATGTTGATAATGGGGGAGGCTGTGTGAATGTGAATCTGGGGGGTAAATGAGAAATCTGTTCAATCTACTTTCTGTTTGATATTGTTGTAAACCTAAAACTGTTCTAAAAAATAAAGTCTATTTAAAAAAGAAACAAAACTAAATCCACTTGCAGGTTAAAGTCCAATAACATTAAAATCCAAATAAATTAAAAAGTAAAAGAAAAAGTTTGTAATTAATGTAGAAAGTTTTTAATATGTCATCCAGATGGATAATATTGTTTTTCATTTTTTTTAGGGTAAAGTTATCTGCTGTGCTAGTGGTTCTGACTCCTCACATATCCCCCGATTGCTTGTTTAATTTTTTTGATCATGCTTCCTTCTAAATACCTGGTCAAAATGAGACACATTTTCCCAGGAAAATAGATGAAAACACACACCCTTTAACCTTTATTTCAGAGCTTTACAACCCTTGTGACAGGTAGACAATCCTCCAAGATAAGTCTGTTATCCCATCTGTTGTCTTACAGGTTCTCTGCTTCTAAAGGGCATTCTGGATAATAGACAATTTTATAATTAGAAGCATTAAATTTTATGTTTATTTTAAATATTATGTGTTTATTATAGGAGTTTCCAGATGTCTTGGAATGCACTGTATCTCATGCCGTAGAAAAGATAAATCCTGATGAAAGAGAAGAAATGAAAGTTTCTGGTAAAATCCAGTCTTTTCAATTTATTTTGTTACATAGTGGCATTAGGCATTGGAATAAGCCTTTCTTTGCTCAAACACTAAATGTGGGAAAAACAAAGATTCTTTTTAAACATAATTTTACTTAAACTCCAAGGTGGAGCTATAGGAGGTCAGTGCTGGCTATTATATAAGAGTCATAGCTGGGCTCCGTGGCTCATGCTTGTAATTCCAGCACTTTGGGAGGCTGAGGCAGGAGGATCACAACAACACAGTGAAACCCCATCTCTACTAAAAATACAAAAATTAGCTGGGAGCAGTGGCCGGCACCTGTAATCCCAGCTACTCAGGAGGCTGAGGCAGGAGAATTACTTGAACCTGGGAGGTGGAGGTTGCAGGGAGCCAAGATTGTGCCACTGTACTCCAGCCTGGTGACAGAGCAAAACTCTGTCTCAAAAAAAAAAAAAAATCAGAATAGAACTTCAACTTGCTTTTCTCATGATGATGTCATCATGTCATGTAATTTATGTGTCAGACTTCAGTAGAAAGATTAAGGTGAAGGAGATGGAAAGGATAAAGGGAAGGCTTAGGAGCAGTGTCCCCAAAGCAAGCATAAGCTCCCCTTTTCTGGTAAGATACTGGTAAGCAATGTCTGAGGCCACCTGGGAATATAAAAAGAAGTCTGGGCAACAGTTACATGAAGAGAAAGAAAATACTGTAACACTCATTCAGGAAACGTAGTAAGTGACAAATTCCAGAAATTGTACTACACTCAAGGAATACACAAATGAAAAGATGTGCTATTTCTGCCCTTACCTTAAAATCAGCATAGCATAGTCATTAAAAGCTTGATCTTTGAAGTTTCTGGGTGTGCGGATTACAGGCTAGTATACTGTTGGGCTAACAAAGACTTTAACCTCCCTGTGCCTCAGTTTTCTCTTTTATAAAATGGGGATGTATCTGTTTCTCCAGCTTCTTTGTAAATTGGATAAAATAACAAAAGAAGCACTTAGCACAGTGCTTGCCTCAAAGTAAGTTCTAGTTAGCTTTATGTGCTACCAGGCTGTTATTGTGGTTGATAGTATTTTATTATTATTGAGATGGATAATAATAATAAATTACATGTAAGATGAGATAGGGTATTGTCTTTTTTAATCTGATAATAATAACTACCATTTATTGAGTCTTGCTTTGTGCCAGGCACTGTACTTGGCACATTATGGTTATATTTTCTCATTTAATTCTCAAAACAATCCTGTAAGATAAGTCTGTTATCCCATTGCATTAGTGATACTAAATAACTTGAAAGTTGTCATACAACCAATAAGTGGTTGAATCAAGAATCCACTCAGGTATGCCTAACTCCAAAACCCATTTTTTCCTTTTAATATCACATGCTATTTGTGTTGGAAAGGATGTAAAGCAACATTCTTTCTGAGGTTGATTGTAATCCATTATTTAGTTCCATCTTGGGTCTCTTAGAAGTTGTACTCAGTTCCTATAGGGCTTGAGTTGTTTTTTTTTTTATATATAGGTATCAAAATTCTCCTCATATAAAGAGCTTTCCTCTTTCTACCTATCCAAAAAGGCCTCATCTTTCAGAGAAAGGAGGCTATTTCAGATGGCACAAATTCATGGATAGAGAAATACTAGTGGGGAGGGTTTTCATAGAGTTATAGGGGACAAAGTTAGACCAAAATAGTAAATACTGACTCTCATATAGTAGGGAAGCTGGGATGGCTGTTCAATAGGGAGTAATCTCAGGGAAGCGGTATTTTTAGAGAGATGATCTAGCAGTAGGAAGGGACTCATATAAGAAACATACAAGAAAATGTGTTGCATATATCAAATGTCAGGCGCTTTATATAAGGATATTTCATTAGCCCTATTTTTTCTCCATTTCCTCTTTTCATTTTTTTTCTTTTCTTGCTCTTCTGCTACTCTACCTCTTTGTCTATTGAGTAAATTTATTTTTTTGAAGTGAGTTTATATAAAGTAAATATGTATATATAAAATTGAGTTTAAATGAAGCGAAAGCCTCAATCTTACAAATGTAGAAAATGACTCAACTTTCCTAGTAACCAAAGAAATGCCAATTAATGTGGTCCTGGGTGGGTATGTATTGTACCTGCTAAATTAAAAAAAAATTTTTAATAATAGCATCCTATGTTGTTAGAAGAACAATTCTTAATTGGTGGTGGTGTAGTAAACTGGCACACATTTTTTGAAACATAGCAAGACTTAACACAAAACATCACAGTGTTTTGACTCATAATTACATTTCTAACTATTCATCCCTGGGAAATGATACAGTATAATGCTGAACAGAAAGTTACTAAGATGTTTGTTTTGGCATTATATATGTGAAAACAGAAAGCTGGAACTACTACTCCAACATTTACTAACCTTTTTTTTTGTTGTTGAGACGGAGTTTCGCTCTTGTTACCCAGGCCGGAGTGCAATGGCACGATCTCGGCTCACTGCAACCTCCACCTCCTGGGTTCAAGCAATTCTCCTGCCTCAGCCTCCTGAGTAGCTGGGATTACAGGCACTAACCTTAATGTTAATACGTAGAAGTCATTTAATAAATGATACCCTTCAAAATTACAAAACAAGATTCAACCATTAAAAAATGAGTATGTAAAATTGGCTGGGTGCAGTGGCTCATGCCGGTAATCCTAGCTCTTTGGAAGGCGAGGCGGGTGGATCACTTGAGGCCAGAAGTTTGAGACCAGCCTGAGCAACATGGCAAAACCCCATCTCTACTAAAAATACAAAAATTAGCCAAGTATGGTGGTGCAGGCCTATAATCCCAGCTACTCGGGTGACTGAGGCACGAGAATTGCTTCAGCCCAGGAGGAGGGGGTTGCAGTGAACCAAGATGGCACCACTGCACTCCAGCCTGGGCAACAGAGTGAGACTCTGTCTCAAAAAAAAAAAAAAAAGTATTTAAAATTATACACTAAAAACCCGGAATACATTCAAGGCCACCCCTAAGTGGAAAAAACAAAACAAAACAAAAAACCACAGAATACACAGAAATCTAAACAGTAATTTGGGTGATGAGACTGGCAATTATTTTTGGTCTTTACTTTTTTAGGTCTTCATTTCTACAGTAAGCACCTAACTATTAGGACAAAAAAAGAAATTTGGCCTGGTGTGGTGCTGTAATCCCAGCACCTTGGGAAGATTGCTTGAGGCCAGGAGTTCAAGAATCCCCTGGGCAACATATCAAGGCCATGTATCTACAAAAAAAAAAAAAAAAAAAATTAGCCAGGTATAGTGGTACATGCCTGTAGTCCTAGCTATTTGGGAGGCTGAGGTGAAAGGAACACTTGAGCCTGGAAGGTTGATGCTGCAGTGAGCTGTGATTGCAGCACTACACTCCAGCCTGGATGAGAGTGAGACCCTGTCTCAAAAAAATTGTGTTGATTTACACCTGTAATCCCAGGACTTTGGGTGACTGAAGTGGGAGGATCCATTGAGGCCAGGAGTTCAAGGCCAGCCTAGGCAATATAATGAGACCCTGTCTCTACAAATTTTCTAAATTAAAGAAATTTTAAGATAACCAAATACTATATAGAAATATATTTAAAATATTTATTATATAAAGATAAACCAAATAGAAGTAGAAATAATGTTATGCCCTACTTTATATGATCAAAACTAGAAGGTAATATCTGAAAATGAAAATGATTATATTAGGAAGGTAGAATTGTGGATTTTTTTTTTTTTCAGTTTTCTTCTCATTACATTTTTAGTTTAGTCTTTGTATACAGATTTTGGTTTATTGGAGAAAGTATATAATGTGCTCTATTAATGTTTAAATCATAAAAATATAAATATCAAGTAATTTAAGCTCCAATAGTTATCTGACTTGCCTTCTAATAAATGGGAAATAAATATTTGCTTTCTGTTTTATAAACAGATATTTGTTGGCCTAGCACATGATTTTAAAAGTACAGTGGAAATATACATTTATGTCTTAAAATTAAAACTGTAAAGTTATGTAACTGGGAAAGGAAAAATAATTCATTCAAGATTGTCTGTCATCTTAGTATTACAACAGTGTTAATACTAGTATATAGTGAAAAGTGTATCCAAATGTAGTAATGGGTTTCATTTTCTTTGTTACCCAGCAAAACTGTTCATTGTAGGATCAAACTCTTCATCATCAACTAGAAGTGCAGTTGACATGGGTAAGTAAAAACTGAACTTTTTATCTTAATAGTGGACTTTAAATTAGTATAAGTGTATTAGTTATAACTTGTGTTTAGGTTCAGGTAAAAAGAAAATGAATTGATTCCAATTTTACCTTTTAAAGTTCTAGCCTAATTTCTTAGGCTTCTGTAAAATCATGGTGACTTATGTATGGTCATATTTTGATATGCAAGAGGAATGTAAAAGGTGTAACGTAGTTAAATCTTCACTATCTGTTTGGAGATAGAAGTTCTTAATCATATTCTTGGCTCTTTTAGTACTATAGGTGAAATATCAAAACCAACAACGGCAAAAAAAAAAAAATCCAAATATTTTATATGTATTTTTAGCACTTAGGTTATTGTGATGTTAAAGTTATTCAATACTTTAAAAAATTATTCCATGTTTGCATATATTGAAAATGTAAATGACTGGCTCTTTAATATAAGTTTAGAATGAATAATCATTTAAAATAAGCTCTTAAATTATTTTTACAGAAATTAAGAAATTATCTACTTTTATAAATATGGATTAAGACCATACATTCAGTTTTCCAGTGTCTCAAGCTTATTCTTTGCTGTGACTACCAGTTACAGAATATTAGGTCATTATTCATGTGATCATCCATATATGATAGTAGTGAGCAGGTAGAACTGGAGAAGAAAATTTTATGAAGATAAGGGAGCTACTAAAGACTTCTGCGACCTAGGAAACAAGAAGACATTTTGTTCCCCAGAAGGAGGAGCATGTAGTAGCTGCAAACTGCCTAGGAAAAAGGCAGGTCAGAGAAACCAACTTCTCTGCCACACAGAGCAAGTAGGCAAATGGGCACTTAAACATTTTTAAAAGAGGGAAATGTTCTAAATAAAAAGTAAACTACAAAATAATCTGTTATTTTGAAAACTAGTGAAGAATGTAGACAGAATTCCGTGAAATACTTTGAAAATATTAGAAATATTTGTTCTTATGATATAACAAGCTTTATTCTCTTTGTGTTTTCCTTCCTATCAGCCTGTTCGGTCCTTGGAGTTGCACAGCTGGATTCTGTGATCATTGCTTCACCTCCTATTGAAGATGGAGTTAATCTTTCCTTGGAGCATTTACAGCCTTACTGGGAGGAATTAGAAAACTTAGTTCAGAGCAAAAAGATTGTTGCCATAGGTACCTCTGATCTAGACAAAACGCAGTTGGAACAGCTGTATCAGTGGGCACAGGTAAGGGATGGCAGGATCATAAGCACTCTGGGAAGAACCTGCCCTCTTCAGTCTTTGCTGCGTGCCGTTGCGCATCATGCACATAGTGGCCACCCCTGCAGGGGACTTTTCCACTTGTGGGGGTTTTGTTTTGTTTCTGCAGGAGTTTTGAGGCAGGTTTTATCAAAATCATTTGGGGTTTTTGTTTGTTTTTATTTAAATATATCTCTGATTTAACTGAATGTTAATCCTAGTTAAAATGAGTGACAAAAATACTAGAAAATGTGTGTTAAAACATTTATAGCCAAATAAATTAAGGCCATTTCCTCCAGTTCTACTTACATGCTGAAAACAATAGTACCTAAAGAAAAATTAAGGTTTTTCTTTAGGTATGATTAGACCAGGCTCTAATTTCCTAAGTAAGGGAATATTATATATAACAAATATTTTTCTGTTATTCAAATAGATGTGTAAGACTCTCAGTTCATACAACTTGATAGGAGTGAGTGTCATAAATTAATTATTCCCACTCTCTGTTCTGATAACCTACAGAATTATTGGGAAAATCACTTACTAGCATTTTACCTTTACTCTCAGTATTTTTCTTTATTCTTTTTCCTTCTTCTTCAGCCTTCTCCTTTTCAGAGCTTTCATAGTTTCTTGTGGACAGGAAGACCCTAGAGAAAGTATTTCCCCTTCTCCTTTTGACTTGATGATAGCCAGAATGTGATCAAGAAACTTATGGAGAGACTTAGATGATTCAGAATGCAAATTAACCAGTGCAGCTACTGGAAGCTATCAGTTCTTCTCTTTCAAAATGTGTCTGATTAATAGCCATATTTTACACTTTAACATTAAATGTATTTACTTGCATTTGATCCTCTACCTTTAAGACCTATTCCCTCTGTAGCGGGAACAATCGCACTTAACAAACTAACAAAAATCATGTTTGTTTTCTAGGCAGATGTATTAGATTGTTAAATGGTTCTAACAGGAGACTTTTTAATAGTGTAATACTAGGCCAGGTGTGGTGGCTCACACCTATAATCCTGGCACTTTGGGAGGCCAAGGCAGGTGATCACCTGAGGTCAGGAGTTCGAGGCCAGCCTGACCAACATGGTGAAACCTCATCTCTACTAAAAATACAAGCTGGGTGTGGTGGTAGGTGCCTGTAATCCCAGCAACTCGGGAGGCTGAGGCAGGAAAATTGCTTGAACCCAGGAGGTGGAGGTTGCAGTGAGCGGAGATTGCACCATTGCACTCCAGCCTGGGTGACAGAGCAAGACTCCATTTCAAAAAAAAAAAATAGTGTAGTACTGTGTTGGATTTTTCCTCCTGCTAAAGTTATATTTCCTTTTCCTATTTCATAAGGAAAGGTAATAGGGAATGTCTAACCTTACCACTAACCTGGGTTAGAAAAGCATATATTAATAAAGATATTCACGTAAAAGTATTTTGTAAACTTTAAGCACTGTGGATTGTGATTTTTCATATGTTCTAAAATTAAGTTATGCTATTGCTTATTGCTTTCTACTTTTGGTATTATATTTAATTTAGTAGTGATATCATGATTTTATTTTCACTTCTAGGTAAAACCAAATAGTAACCAAGTTAATCTTGCTTCCTGCTGTGTGATGCCACCAGATTTGACTGCATTTGCTAAACAATTTGACATACAGCTCTTGACTCACAATGATCCAAAAGGTAAAACTGATATTTTCATTATAGAGATTGATCATAAACTTTTGTCTTGCAAAAAGGTACTTGTTGATATTTAATTTTAAGTGTGGATAGTGATAAAAATACAGTGTTATCTGAACTATTCTTAATGATTGGTTCAAAACATATATGCCTTTATTTTATTTTCGGAAAACTTTGTTTTTGTCTCTGTACCAATGGGGAAGAAAAGTGAAGGGATCATTTCCTGAATATCTGGTCTTTTGAGGTTCACAAATGCTAAACTACACAGAAAAGATCTTTTGAGGCGTTCCAAATAGCAATATTTATAATCCTATCTAGTACAGCAAAGACTGGACCAGAAGGCCACTTGATTATTTATTTAGTTATTTATTTTTGAGATGAAGTCTTGCTCTGTCACCCAGGCTGGAGTGCAATGGTATGATCTCAGCTGATTGTAATCTCCACCTCCCAGACTCAAGCTATCCTCCTACCTCAGCCTTCTGAGTAGCTGGGACTACCGGTGCATACCACCACACCTAGCTAATTTTTGTATTTTTTGTAGAGACAGGGTTTCACCATGTCACCCAGCCTGGGCTTGAATTTCTGGACTCAAGAAATTCCCCCTCCTTGGCCTCCCAAGGTGCTGGGATTATAGGCGTGAGCCACTGCAGCTGGCCAAAGGCCACTTTATTTAAGGGGATAAATATCTGAAAAACATGGCACATGTAATTTAATTCAAAACTTAATAAGTATCTTAGGATACGTATTTTATTAATGGTTACCATCGAGCTATATGTTTAATGCTAATCAGAAATATTATTTGATTAATGAGACTGGCTTATCTGCCTTTTGTACAGTAATTATTTACAACATTTTATATGATAACTAGAAAGACTTGGAAGAGATATTGAACATAATTTGCAAAGATAAATGTTTCAGAGAGCCTGTATGTTACTATTTTTGGTTATAAATGAAAAATGTTTGGTTATAAGTGAGAAATATCTTGTGAGTGTTTTAACTCTCAATGACATTTTTATAGAAGTTCTGATTTAATAAATATTAGAGGAAATTATATTTCAGAGAAAATTCCCGTCAAAAAAATGTTCAGCTTTTACTTCCATACCTAAAAAGATGACATAATATCGGTGGGTTGATTCAGTTTACTCTTTTTAAGGATGCTGTGAATAATCTATTAAGACTTTATACTATTTATTAGCAGTTTACTTCATTCTCATTTCTTCACTGTTTCATCAGAGGAGGGGGAGATGGAGAAGAAGAAGTTTTAATAGTTATTGTTCCTTGAATGCCCAGCATCAAGCCAAATGCCTCAGAGAGATTATCTATAATCCTCACAACACCTGAACCTATGCATTGTTTCAGTCAGGAAATAGAGCCTGAGAGTGAAAGGTACTAGCCAAGGTCACCCAGCTGGCTTTGAGCAAAGTTTGAACTTGGCCTAAGTCTTGGATTAGTTTGGACTCTTTTCCACTATACTATCTCTCTGATTTGAAATGTTAGTATTACAGTATTTCAATATGAAAACCTCATGCATTTTCATTTAAATCATACCAGAATAAGATAAACAGTGACTTTTGCCTCCCCAGTCGAGCTTTCACAATCAAGTAAATTGATTTGTAAGCCATTTTAGTGAAAAATCTAACAAACTGTTATGCTGATTTATTCTGAACTATAAGTGATTTAAATTTTAACTTTCCATATGTTGGCAGGTGTCATGTGTCTGTTTACTTTTTGGAGGCTCTTGTAACGGTAACTGTTACCAACCACTGATGATCCAGCCTGTACCCTCTTCTAGCTTCACTTGAAAAAAAACTCAATCTAGTAGTAAAGGAAATAGGAAAAGATGAAGGTGTCTAGTGTTCTATTTTCACATATCTAAATGTTGCATTTAGAAATTATGGCAAAATATATTGTATATGTATGTGAGGACAGAGATTTAATCCTGTTTTTGTATTACCGACATAATTTGATACTTGGTTGTCTTTTTTAATTCTAAGACTTTTGGTGAAAATGTATAGGCTTATCCTGCATTTATCATTAATGAAACTTCAAACACTTTATAATGATGCAACTTTTGATTTAATTTGTCATGTTTACTGACCAGAGTTCAACCACAGCTGAATTTTAAAAGTATATAGTTAAATGAATAGCCTAGTCTCTGATTTTGTGTCAAATTTTTAATTTTTTTAAACAACCAAATTGTAAAACATTTAACTCTGCTTGTCATTTAAAATAGAATTTTGTTCATAAATTCCCTGAAGGTCTACCCCATTCTAAAAATTACTCTTACTCATAATGGGTTTATTTTCCATTACCCTTTGTTCTAGAGGTTGCAGTAACAGCTTAACTAGAGAGTAAAATTATAAAGTAGGTGATCCTGAATTTAGAACTTTCCCTTTTTATTTGCTCCCCACCTCCCACTTGAATTAAATCCAATCTGTATTATCTTTCTTTCCCTCAGGGTTTTCTTCTCTGTTAGAGAATCTGATAAACAAATCTATAGTAATGTTACTTTTCCAAGGAGACATTTGCATTCTATTCATGAAAACTACCATTTACTAGTAGTGTGACCTTGGCCAAGTTACGCACCTCTATGCCTCAGTTTCCCCCCATAAAGGAGATAATAGTATCTATCTCATAGGGTTAGCATGTGGATTAACTGAGTTAATATGTGAAGTACTCAGAAAAGTACTTGCACATGAAAACAGCTAACATTAATAAACATTGATTGTTTATTATTAATGTTCAGGTATCACAGCAGTTCATTTGGGAATAGGTGTATCCTTTAGCAGTCCCAAATCAAACTGTAAAGATACTCACTTAATCCCTATCTGTAGGTTGCTTCTGACCCCAGTGGAATCTTTCCATATTGATTGATTCATTCAATGGACATTTGAGCACCATTTGCCAGGCATTGTTCTGGGTACTAGAGATAAAGGACCAAGTCAGACAAAAACCAGCCCTCATGGAATTTATATTCTAATGGGAGGAGACAGACTATAAAATAAATATTACATATGATAAATGGTAGTACATGATATGGAGATAATTTGACTGAAGGAGAAAGAGTATCTAAGTTAGTCGTTGTTTTATGTTGTACAGTCAGAGAGGTCTCTCTGCTAAGGGAATATTAATCAGAGACCTGCAGGGAAAGAGTGAGCCATGTGACTATCTGGAAAAAGTGTGTTCAAGGAAGAGGGAGAAACTGATTCAGAGGCCCCAAGGTGTGAATGTGCTTGGGGTTTTCAGGATGCAGTAAGGAGGTGAGGCCAGTGTGGCCAGAGAAGAGGCAGTGAGGAGAGGAGTGGTAGGATATGGGATCCGAACAGTCATAGAGAGCTTGGATATAACCTTGGAATTTGCTGGGCACGGTGGCTCACACCTGTAATCCCAGCACTTTGGGATGCCAAAGCAGGCGATCACTTGAGTCCAGGGGTTTGAGACCAGCCTGGGAAACATAGTAAGATCTCATATCTACAAAAAATAAATTAAGTAAATTAGTTGGCCTTGGTGATGCATGCCTCTAGTCCTAGCTACTCAGGAGAAAGAGATGGGAAAATGGATTGAGCCCGGTAGTTTGAGACTGCGGTGAGCTGTGATTGTGCCACTATACTCCAGCCTGGGCGACAGAGTGAGACATTGCCTCAAAAAAAAAAGAATTGGCACCGCGGCACTCTAAAATTATCAGCTGCTCGTGCCGGTGGAAGTGTAAAGTATAGCCTTTCCTGTAGAGCAGTTGGCAATATACTGTGTATCTAGCTTTAAGAATGTACTTGTACTTTGGCCCTTCACTCCACAGCCAGGCATGTATTTTAAAATGTTCATCATCTGGCATCACTGTGACACTTGGAGGACATTGTTTCTTCCATATTTGGAGATAAATTTATGTGTTGATTTGTTTTATAAGATATAGTTGATAAAAATTTATTTAAATGATCTTGCAATGATTTGTATTCAGATGCTTAAAGCATTGTTGGTATAAATATTTCTATTTTTAGAAAGGGTTTTTATGGACCAGTGCCCCAGTTGTCATCAGAGCCATTGGTGTTTTCATTGTTAAAATGTCATCTGTAAAACGGGCATTATTTATGTGTATATGGCTTTTTTTTTGGCATTCCTGATAATTGTATTATATAAAGAAAGTCTATACATTGGATAATAACACTAGTGTATTTAAACTTACAGACTTATTTGTAATGCAAACCACCATTTTAATGTACTGTAATTAGTATGGGGTATAATATGTACCCCAATATAGTCTTTACATCCTCCCATCACACAACTTTGTGTGTGTGTAATAAACCAATTTTGGTTTGAAAATATTTTTTGAGGCCAGGCACGGTGGCTTATGCCTGTAATCCCAGCACTTTGGGAGAACGAGGTGGGTGGATCACTTGAGGTCAGGAGTTCGAGAACAGCCTGACCAACATGGTGAACCCCATCTCTACTAAAATACAAAATTAGCCAGGCATGGTGGCATGCGCCTGTAATCCCAGTTACTTGGGAGGCTGAGGCAAGAGAATCACTTGAACCCGGGAGGCAGAAGTTTTAGTGAGCCAAGATTGTGCCACTGCATTCCAGCCTGGGCAACAGAGCGAGATACCGTCTCAAAAAAAAAAGAAAAGAAAATATTTTTTGAAAAAGAATATTTATTTTGGCATTATTCTTATTAGCAAAATATTAGAAAAAAAAACTAAATGTTTTGACCAATGATAAGGAAATATATAAATTATGATATCTAATATAGTATTGGGGAAATTATTAAAAATTATGTTTATGCACATTATTACATGGGAAAATATTCACAATATAAGTGGAAAAAGTAAATAAGGCTATTGTAACTACCGTATGATTTCTAGTTTTGTAAGATATGGATATATATACACACAAATACAGATATAAGATGGAGATATATATTCAAGATATGGATGGAGATATATATGAAGATATACACCAAAAAAGTTGTAAGGAAATACATGACAATGGTATCATCTCCAATTGATAGGATTATCAGTGACTTTTTTTTTTCTTTAGACCCTGACTATACATTAAAATCACCTGGAGATCTTTAAAAAACTGCAATGTCTAGGCTCTACTCCCCAAAAGTTATGAATTAAATAGGCTGGGGTACAGGTGTAAATACTTTTTAAGTAACTGCCTGGGAATTTCTAATATTCTGGTTCAGATTCATAGCTTATCCTTATGAAGGATAAGCATATTTTATATTAAATTTTGAGGTGTTTCTTTATTATGTTATCTGTTTACCTACATAGTAAAGTACTTTTGTTTTCCAACTAACATGCTGGAGTTTTGTTGTTGTTTCTTTCAGAACTGCTTTCTGAAGCAAGTTTCCAAGAAGCTCTTCAGGAAAGCATTCCTGACATCCAAGCACAGGAGTGGGTGCCACTGTGGCTACTGCGATATTCAGTCATTGTGAAAAGTAGAGGAATTATCAAATCAAAAGGCTACATTTTACAAGCTAAAAGAAGGGGTTCGTAACTGACTCAGGAGCATAACTTACTGACCTGTAATTTCCTTGAATATAAGATAAAATTGAGATGTGTAAAAATCTGGTTATTGCCTGTAAATGGTGTCACTGAGGCAGATATTTTTTGTCATATTTGACAGTATGTTGTCTATCAAGTTTTGAATACTTCTTTTGCCTCCCTATCAATCCATTCTCATGAACCACTATATTGGTTTCCTTAAACTATTGTTTTCTAATTGAAATTGTCTATAAAGAAAATATTTGCAATATATTTTTCCTTTATTTTTATGACTAATATAAATCAAGAAAATTTGTTGCTAGATATATTTTGGCCTAATTATCAGGGTAATGTATATACATATTTTTTATTTCAAAAAAATTCATTAATTGCTTCTTAAATCTTATTATAAGCAATGTAATTACAATTGTTAAAACTGAAATACTGGAAGAAGATACTTTTCCTGTTATTGATAAGCTGTATCTCAGAGTAACTGGAGTAGCTGGGATTTACTAGTAGTGTAAATAAAATTCACTTTTCAATACATGAATGGAAACTTAAATTTTTTTATGTGTTCTTGCTTATAGTATAGCTGTTAAGATTTAACCATGTATTCTTGTGCCATATTATCTCTATTACTTATAAAAACAAACCAAAGTAAATCTGAAAAGAAGAGGAGAAACTTTGAAATTATTGTTTGGGAGTTTTATAAAAGCAATAACTGTCATCTCCAGATTCTTTTAAATTATTGATCCATCCTTAGTATATATTGCTACTCATTCAAGAATCTTCAATAAGTGACCGGGCCCAGTGGCTCACGCCTGTAATCTCAGCACTTTGGGAGGCCGAGGTGGGTGGATCACCTGAGGTCAGGAGTTTGAGACCAGCCTGGCTAACATGGTGAAATCCTGTCTCTACTAAAAATAGAAAAATTAGCTGGGCATAGTGGCGGGTGCCTATAATCCTAGCTACTCAGGAGGCTGAGGCAGGAGAATCACTTGAACCAGGAGGAGGAAGGTGCAGTGAGCAGAGATCGCGCCATTGCACTCCAGCCTGGGTGACAAGAATGAAACTCCGGCTCAAAAAAAAGAAAACATCTTCAATAAGTATTGAGTACTTACCATGTGTTGGGATACTGTGGGCTCTGGAGAGACATTATCTACTTAAACAACTTTGAGATATAGTTTTAACTATTTTAAAGCAGAATAATAAATTAAAATTTTATAGATTAAAAGAGACTAAGTCATTTCATATAATTCCTCATCAGTTTAAAAACCACAGAATTGCAAATAAATAAGCTATAGCCTTTGATATACACTATAGGTCTCCTTAATTTTATAAACTGGTATCTATAAACTGAACAGTTTGAAAACTTCTTTAAAAATCTCTTGTGTCTCAGTATTTTTAACCATGGGCCTAAATAAAACTAATCTTGCTCAAGTTTTCTCAACCTAGGGAAAAGAACTATGGTTCCATATTCAAAATAAATATAATAGACCTTTTTCCTAAATAAGATTTTGTGGTTTACTGATTGGATAATTTGATCATTAAAATTACATGAAATCTGGCCAGGCACAGCTCACACATGTAATCCCAACACTTTGGGAGGCCAAGGTGGGTGGATCACCTGAGGTCACGAGTTCGAGCCTAGCCTGGCCAGCATGGTGAAACCCCATCTCTACTAAAAGCACAAAAATTAGCCAGGCGTGATGGTAGGTGCCTGTAATCCCAGCTACTAGGGAGGCTGAGGCACAAGAATCACTTGAACCTGGGAGGTGGAGGTTGTGGTGAGCTGAGATCACACCATTGCACTCCAGCCTGGGTGACAGAGCGAGACTCCATCTGAACAAACAAACAAACAAAAATTGTGTGAAATCATGTGATTTGCCTGGTAAAACTTGGTTAGACATTGAACTACTTAAGCCATCTAGCCTTTATATTAATTGTATGTAATGTTATTAAATATATATAGTTCACTTTTAAATTTGGAAATATACAACCTTTTTTTTCCATATAAGTCTTTAAACAAGTGTTCATTTTATTTTAAATCTATACAGTGAATTTGCCAAGATATTTTAAGAGGAAGCTTTAATAGCACATTTATTGCTTTTATAAACCTGGACTTATAAAAATGGATTGTTTGAAGGGTTATTCTGAAAATGGGGGAAAAAAAAAATCTTAGTTGCTAATGTATCTAAACTTCAGATGTATCTAAACTTCAGCAGAGCTTTCTGGTGATCTACCTACAACCTCAACTCTTGACAAAGAAACAAGACTATAGGTTCATTTTCTGAAGGGGATCATGTATGGAATTTTTTAATGAGCTTTTAATTTTACCTCTGTACTCTTGATTTTCTGTTATTGAATAATCTTTTTTAAAACACTGATTTTTAAGACTTTATATAGAAGTTTTCCAAGCTGATGTTCACATCTTTTTTTCATGAACTATCAGACTATAGTGAACACTTTTCAAATATTTAAGGACTTAATGTTTAAAAAGCCATAAAATAGAGAGTAGTAATACTACCAAATAATTACTTAAAACTGAAACTAAGTTATCAACAGTTTATATAACATGTTTTTTGAGGAGATGTGAATCCAGTGTGACCAAGGTAGAAAAAGTTTATATAATTGTTTTTTTCCAGTAAATATGAAAAAAAAAAGCTGTAGCTTATTCATTAAATTTTCAAAATACACTGGAGCCTTACTTTAACACAGTGTACTGTAACTTGGAATTTGTTCTGAGTCTATCTTGAATTCTCATCCAGGAAACTGTAGTCACCAAAAGCAACAAGTATTTTCACATGATGTAAAAAGATCATATTGTGCTAGTACATTAATAGAATATCCATTTGGAGATGGCCATTGCTAGAACTTGAATCACAAATAATAGCTAATAATTTTTCAGTTTTCAAAAAAGGTCATTTGGATAACAGCTATGTATAAAGTGGAAAATAAAAAATTACTCTATTTTGCATGAATCATTCAGACTTCCATACCAGAGCCAAGTAGTAACTAAAATTAGGATCTAATTTTCAATGATAAAAGGTCTAAGGCTCATTTAATTATGCTCCTTTAACATTTTCTTTCTAGGTTTTGCACCCAGTGCTTTCAATATTTGGGAATGTAAACAGTTGATATATTTATTGTATGTTGGCTGACAGTTCATCCTTCTGCAAAATATGCATTTAGAGAAATGTGAAGCTGTTTTAGTGAGTATTTAAACCGTTTGTATCATTTGTGTTTTCATATTCAAATACACCAACTTAAAATTCTAAACCTACTTTTCTCATCATTAACTTCCTATTATACCAGAACTTGTATCTTTTTCCTGTAAAGTTGGTGATGGGATATTGCAGTTTTATTTTTGAAAAATATATAACACGACTTTAATATTTTTATAGTTTTCAGAATTAGAAACATAGGAAGGGAAAATGTTTTAATTAGATAATTCAACTTTTTATGTGTCTGTAGTATACTATAAAAGCAAATTATAAAGTATTAAATATTTATAATTTTTAATACTTACATTTATGAATTTAACTAAAATAAAATGTGAGTTGTATATTTTTTAATTGGGTTATTTCAATAGCTGGAAGCATCCCGAAGTGTTATATTGATTTTTGAACTATTTGAATTCAAACTGAGTATGATTCAAAAATAAATTAATAATTGTAAAACATCCAAGTCATAAAGCTATTTATGCATTCATTCATTCCACAAAGATTTATTGAATGCCTGCTATGTGTTAGGCACTGTGCTACAGATGGATACAGGTGAAAAATAACTCCTATCTTCATGGAACATGTGGTATATTTGGGAGAAAAGAAGGAATCTGTATATGAATAAAAGCAATAAAAGGCTGCTTCTGTTGGCTGGGCACGGTGGCTTATGCCTGTTATCCCAGCACTTTAGGAGGCTGAGGCGGGTGGATCACTTCAGGCCAAGAGGTCAAGATCGCCCTGGCCAACATAGTGAAACCCTGTCTCTACTAAAAATACAAAAATTATTCACGCACGGTGGTCCATGCCTGTAATCCCAGCTACTTGGGAGGCTGAGGGACAAGAATCACTTGAAAATGGGAGGTGGAGATTGCAGTGAATTATTCACAAATAACTTTTGACTCCCCCAAAACTTAACTAATAGCCTACTATTGACCAGAAGTCTTGCAGATAACTAGTTGATTAATACATATTTTATATGTTGTATACATTATATATTGTATATATTTACCTAAAATTAGGCATACTGTATTTGCTCTAAATCCACTTCTGTTAAAGAAGATAGGCAAAGAACAGGACAAACCTGGTAAGCCCACGTAAAAACATTTTTTTTTTTTTTGCCTATGGTAGATTTGTTGATAGACCAGCTCAGTCTTCTCATGTTATGAATATGTACTGACAATTTTAGTTTCTTATATTTGTTTCTTGACGTTAGATAATGTGAGTTGGTTTTCTCCTTTCTCTCTTTTTTTAACTTGAGAGGGGCCACGATTGCAAATATTAGACATTGAATGATTTTCTAATATTCTCTCCAATTTTCTACACATATTTTCGTCTTCATTTCTGTTTTCATGTGTTTGCTCAAATTAAAGTTGTGGAGATTAAATAACTGAATACATGTAAAGCACTTCGACTAGTACCCAGCAGATATTAAGTGCCCAGTACTATTGTGATTGATGCTGTTGTTCTTTGATGCTTTGATCTCCGCAACCTACATCCAATTGGTTCACTTTCTTTCTACACCATTTGTCTCCTCTTCAAATCTAGCCTTTCTCTTCTGTTCATCTTCTTACATAGTCTCACTGCTACTTGGCCCTACCAAAATTTATTTTTGCTCCTCACCACATTTGCCACAAGAGCTGATCTAAACCATTTCCATTATTCTGAGATGTATCACCTACTGACAGAAGTTATTATCTATCCCAAATCTCCTCTTCTCTCCAATTGAACATCCTTGCGTTCACATTCTCTGTTTCAAATATCAACTCTTCCCTCCTGCCTTAAAGGAAGGTGCATTCTTTTACAGCTACACCCACGTCTTGTTTTTTATCCAGTTCTTCAGTTAGCATTAGGCTTGGCTGCAAACAGAAAAATCTCTTAAGTAACAGTTTTTAACAGGGTGTTTCCCACAGGTGAAAAATCTAGAAGGCTCTTGAGGTCTCATAGGGCAGCTCCACGAGTTGATTTTTCCTTCTCACTGCTATGCCATCTTTAAAGCATGCCTTCATCCTTGTGGCACAAACTTGCTGCCTGAAAACCCGCGAACCGAACTTTCCAGGAAGTAAAATGCAGTTTGAAAGGTCATGAGGCCGGGCGAGGTGGCTTACGCCTGTAATCCCAGCACTTTGGGAGGCTGAGACAGGCAAATCACCTGAAGTCAGGAGTTCAAGACCAGCCTGCCCGACATGGTGAAAGCCCATCTCTACTAAAAATACCAAAAAAAAAAAAGAATTAGCTGGTAATAGCGGCAGACGCCTGTAATCTCAGCTACTTGGGAGGCTGAGGCAGGAGAATTGCTTGAACCTGGGAGCTGGAGGTTGCAGTGAGC